ATGCGCGCCTGCTCTTGAACAGCATACTTTAGGGTTATACAATTTTATCAAACCCTATTCTCTATATGCTGTTCAAGATTTTTTTTATTTATTACAACTTTTCGTGTTTTTGACGTTAAACTAATTCATTTTTGATTTAATTTCCGTGTTTAGATGACCGAGACGAAGTTTCGTCTTCGTGGCAGTCTTTGGTATGCCTTCAAATTGGGCAAAAATGCCGCTGAATCTCATCGAGATCTCTGCAAAGTATTTGGCGAAAATGCTATTTTGGAAAGCCAGTGTCGCCGATGGTTTCAACGATTTCGAGAAGGAATCAATCTTTGGAAGACGAAAACCACCAACGACGGCCTCCTGCGATCGACAATGCAGTACTGAAGCCGGCGATAGAAATGGATCCTTGACAAACTACACGTGAACTTGCAGAAAGATTTAGAATAAGCCCTCAAACAATTTCTGAGGATTTACATCAATTGGGGAAAACAAGCCGACAAGGGAAATGGGTTCCTCATCTTCTCAGCAATGTCAATAAGGCTACTCGTGTCACTATGGAGGGTATTCTTCTTCGTTTGGCAAAAAATACTGGGTTTTACGATAAAATCCTTACTTGCTATGAAAAATGGATTCAATATGATAATTCTACACGAAAATGGCAATGGCTAGAACCTGGTGAGGAACTAATACCAACACCAAAACCCGACTTCCATGGCAAGAAAGTAATGCTTACTGTCTGGTGAAATTCCCAAGGCATTGTTTATTTTGAGCTGCTTAAACCTGGACAGACAATCACGGGTGAAACGTATGCACAACAACTGGAACGAGTGAACAATGTATTGCTACAAAAAGGCCTTGATCCTTCAAACATAAAGTTCATTCAAGATAAGGCCCGTCCACACGTTGCAAAGATTGTTCAGGAAAAACTCGAAGAGTTGGGCTGGGAAACTCTCCCGCATCCGCCATATTCTCCGGATATTTCTCCTTTGGATTACCATTTATTTCGCCCAATACGAAACCATTTGGCTGGAAACAGGTTCAAAGATGTTCAAGAGGTCGAAAGATGGTTAGCCGACTTCTTTGCCTTAAAACAAGCCAATTTTTACGCCGAGGGAATTCATTCTTTGCATGGAAGACGGAAACAAATATTGTTAACAAATGTTGAATGTATTGTTGATTGAGCTGTTAAACTGTTGGTTTTAAAATAAAAAGTTGTTATCTTAAATTTATAACTGGACAACCTAATATAAGGCCTTGTCTTCGCTTCAGAGAGCCTTGTCTGGCAATCGTAATCTACCATAACCTTGTCGTAATCTATGTCTTTCACAGCTACGAAGTGTTTGAACATTTCTATCTTTTGCTCAACCTGCACTCTTCCCATTTTGCTCCTTGATAGTAGATCGTTGCGTGAATCGCATCTTGCACCTCTTTTCGATTCAAATAACTAAAACAAAATCTTTCTTTCTAGATAAGTGAAGATAATAAGTGAAGATAAATGCTAATTCCAGGAGTTAAATGCTAACTCCAAGAGTTAAATGCTAACTCAAGAGTTAAATGCTATTGGGTTGGGGACTATGACTCGGCGCCGAAAATCAAAAAAATATCTAAAACTTCAATTCGACTTCGTCAAGTAATATGCGTTTGATATCAGTAGAATGGTTAACTAATTCTCTACAAAATGACATTTAAAAGAAAATTCAAACATGGCACTCCGCTCCGAGGAAAAGCCATTTTTTTCACAAAAACTACAAAAACTGATCTAGAAAAACCATTGGTGGTTTCTTTACCCACAGAATTTGGCAACTCCGTAATTGAATGTACTCTATCTTTTTTTATATAAACATCACCAAAGAAGGTTTATGTGAAAGAAACTGTTCAAATGATGAGTCGGGCTCTTTGCCATTTTGACTAGCTGTTTGGGAGTCCATAAACTCCACGAAAGAGAAGCTTTGTGGAATCTCTCAAAGGGAGTGATTTTGTAGAGAAATAGTGGATCGCACAGTGAAACAAACGTATGTTTAAAGAAGGCTTTATGTGTGCAAAAGTCCCTTTAAAGTTTGGCGCCGAGGTCATAGTCCCCAGCCCAATAATTCCAAGGTTAAATGCTAATTCAAAGGTTAAATGCTAATTCAAGAGTTAAATGTTGATTCCATATTCAAAAGCCAATTGATAAGCTTAAAAAGCTAACTGTAAGAAATATTTCTGTGAATCACTTACGTAGTCAGAGCGTCATCATTATAACAAGTGTAGCCATTGAATGGATCCCGTTGAGATCGAAACTCATACGATCCTGGAGGTGAATTTAAGTTGAGGAATCAATAAATAGGAATATTTATTGTATTCGTGAATAGGAATCAATAAAACTGTAGTCGTTCAGGGTTTTTTTAAAGTTTACCGTGTTCTGTCGATAAACAAAGTGCTTTCTCGGTTTCGTGGGTGCATCAAAAGCGATGAGGGTCTAAAAAGACATAGAACTTGTTGTACTTGTACTTGTTGTACTTCTTGTGCTTGTTGTACTTGTTGTGCTTGTTGTACTTGCTGTACTTGTTGTACTTGTTGTACTTAGATAAAAACCTACTTTGTCCAGAATATTACACAAGAACACTAGTCAGCATTTCTTGAAAAAGCCAAGTGATGTATCGAACTTGTGAGGTCCGCTCTAGGAACAAACGCTGTACCGCTTGGCAACGGCAGCGGCAACGCTCGGCACGCTGCACCAAACAGGTCCGCAAGCAGGCCGCTAAGACTCAAATGACCACAATATTCATTTGGGGCCTCAGCGCGTTTTAGCGGCCTCCTCGCAGGCTCCGTAAAACACTGTAAAACCTTGTGTACTTATGAAACCAAATTACTTATCATAATGAAAATATCCACTTCTCTTCAAGTTATTCCAAAAATTTACATGCTCAGGCGAATCTTTGTATTGCTGTGCCGTTCTTCTCCTCCATCGGCTCAAGCTGCGAGATTTGCGTGATGTTTTCTGCCCGGCGTAACAATCCAAATAAATGTTGTAGCTGTCTTGGCTTCAAAGATTCCATTGCTACATATCACTGGGGCAATGGATTTGAGTCTCAAATATTTTCTCAAAACCTACATAGCATCATAGAATTTGTTCTCGATTTCGTTATACGTTCGATCACAAGTGCTATTGCTTCGCGCATTCGAGTAGTCACAGTAGAGGGTTTTCCAAATCAGAGCAGCACACCTCGCTGAGACGATTCCACTCACTGAAGTTTCAAATTTGCTTGAAGATAAGATAAGTATCCGTAGTGTTTTAAGATATTCCTAAGTATTCGTAGTGTTTTCAGTTATAAGACAAGATTATGGTAGCTTTTGAAAGTTAGAAAGCGCATTTTTGTTTATAATATGCCGGAAAGTAGTCAGGAATTGTGTCAAGTTTGATTTGGAACACAGTTTATTACCGAATACTGTGCGATAGTTATCGGTTTTCACCGTAACTTCAAAGGCTTCCCTAGTGTTTACTTACTCTTGCGAAGTGAATCCATGAGAATACTGAAGCGCAATCTCCGAGTTCGACTGTAGCCACTCACTCAAATCCGTTTCCAATCGTCATTCCCTGAAATTTGAGCATAGATCATTTATTAATAGATATTTATTTATTAAAGATCATTTAAAGCTTGCTCAAACCTTGAAATTCAATTGTAGCTGATTGATTCAATAGAGTCCGATGATTTGTCTCGTCAAAGTTGGACCGTACACTCCAACATAGCTCACCGGTCACATAGAAAGCTTATTCTGGGCATATTGTGGAAAACATTTGGAAGAAATCCTTGATCGGCATGGGCGTTGTCGATTAGCGACCTTGAAGGATTTCTCTTTTCAAACTACAATTCAAACTACAATTCAAACTACAATTCAAATCCAAATTCAAATTCCAATTCCAAGTTCCACTCCAAACTACAATTCAAATTCAAATTCAAATTCCAATCCAAATTACAATTCAACTTACAATTCAACTTACACTTCAAACTACAATTCAAACTACAATTCAAACTACAATTCAAACTACATTCAAACTACAATTCCAACTACAATTCAAACTATGATTCAAACTATTAGGGTTGGTGCAGATGAAACTTCCGTCACACTTGTTTGTTTATATTTTGAACCTTATAAAAGTTTTTATTGAAGATATTTGTCTATCTGAAGAGCGTCGTCTCTTTCCGCGTCTTTTGATATCTAAGACTTATGCGTTTTACTTAATTTGAAGTAATTTTTAGCTTCTAGAAAATGGTTGACGAAAAAATTCCGAGTGCGGTTTGCTTGTTGTATGATTTTTTAAACAAGGCAGAACGCCTGCGGAATCTCTGTGCAAAGCATTCGGCGGATGTCGTCGTGGTTGTCCGAACGTCAATGCCGGACTTGGTTTCAGCGCTTCCGAGACTGGCGATGAGAGTTTGAAAGACGAAAACGATGAGTTGAAGAACGCTATCGAATCGGATCCATGCCAAACAACTCGGGAGCTTGCAGAGCGCTGTTTGACTGGTGACCATACAACCAATCTCCGACATTTGCACGCAATTGGTAAGACGAATCAGGTGGAAAATGGGTGCCACATCAGCTCAACGACGCAAACAAAGCGACTCGAGCTACAGCTGGCTGGAATTCTCGTCCGCCGCGCAAAGACCGCCGGTTTTCTCGACTCCATTGTTACGGCAGATGAAAAGGGGATATGTTACGACAACACAACAAGAAAACGGCAGTGGTTGGACGCCGGTGAACCGCCAAAACCGACTCCCAAACCGAATGTCCACGGAAAAGGTGATGCTTTGTATTTGGTGGAATAGTAAAGGTCTCTCGTCATTTTGAGGTGCTGATTCGGGCCAAAGAGTCACGGCGGATCTCTACAAAGCCCAATTGAGCCGCGCGGACCAGGCATTGCGTCGTCAAGGTAATAACACGGCGACACAAAATTCCTCCCACAATAACCTTTCTACCCCACACCGCAAAGATCACTCAGCAGAAAATCGAGGAATTAGGCTGGGAAGTTCTGCCTCATCCGCTCACTATAGCCCGGACTTGGCCCTCATCCGACTACCACTTGTTTCGGCTCGATGCAGCACCTCTTTAGCAGAAAAAATTCAAAAACCACGAAGAAGTTGAGATCTGGGTGTCCAACTCTTCGAGTCGCAGTTGCCTGAGTTCTTCGAAAAGGGCATCCATTCTCTGCGTGGAAGATGGCAAGAGTCATTGATAATGATGGCGAATATCTTTTGGATTGAGGTTCTGTATTAGGATTTTATAATAAATTTTGTTTATGGTTCCAACGGAAGTTCCATGCACCAACCTAATACAATTCAAACTACAATTCAAACTACAATTGCATCCTTTGTTCTAGTCATAAGTTATCAAATAACGATCATAATTCGAGAATTAAAAGCTCTTGATTCATTACTAGCTTTTCTTTAGTTCTTTAGAACGACATTTCTTTAGTCCACTCACCGTCTCATCGGTATTATTCCAAGCGGATTCCTCGAAATACGAGAATCCGACTCAACTGGCGCCTCCATGAAGAGGACACTGCCTGAATCAACGAATACGTTAAAAAGCTGGATAATGTTATATGCAGTTATGATTATCTGATTCGCTTCTATTCGCCCATGAATGAATAAAGCATATATATATAAATGACCAAAAAATAAAGCAAAATCAAGTAATTTCGATACCGGTTTATAGCAAAATCAAGAAAATCTAGAAAATCTAGCAAAATTGAGAAATTTCAGATACCCTTTTGTTCCACGAATAGATGTTCTCGTAGAGGGTTTTCCCTTGATCCGGATTCATGTGATATGGCCCGAGTTCTTCGAAGAGACCGGACTAAATTTGATCATTAGACTCGTTTAGACTAGTCTTAGAAAGTAAATCATTCAAGTGGATTGCAAAAGTTTCTTTGATTCACCCATCGAACTGCAACCAGGCCCTCCATTCAACCATAGCACAACAGGATCATTTTTTGATCGTTTTGCGATTCCATGAACCTAATCGAATATTGAGTAAAGGAAACCATTCGTTTTTACAAACCAGTAAAACAAATGATGCGCTTTGATGTTCTCCGGATGGAGATAACCGCCAAAATGGAAATTGATGTCAAAGGTGAGGCCGGGAATCGAGGTGATCAGATCGCTTTTCGCTCGGCTCGTCAAATCGTCGGTGTTGTTTGGAGGAGCTTTCTAGAAAGGTAAAAGTTTGTTTGTTTTAGTTTGTTTGTTTCATTTTGTTTGTTTTAGTTAGTTTGTTTTATTTTGTTAAATTTAAGTGAGGTAAAACTTCGAATCGGCAAAAATCGGCATTCGAATGGGCAAAAAAATAAAATACTTTTACTGTTCGTGTACTTGTTCTTGTTTTGAAGATTTTAACTTAACAAACAACTTTCCCTACCCTTAGCAAAGATATCAAGCTTTTATAAAACTCAAGTCTTAATAAAATCTTAATTAAAACTTGTAAAAACGTCAAGAAACTTGAAGATTAGGGTTAGACTTAAGCTTTGGGGTATCTACGGATTTCCTCCGTCAGTCTAAAAGCTATTAATGGTCAGTCCAAAAGATATTAATAGTCAGTCCAAAAGATAAATGCTAGTTTGCATCATTCATAGTTTGCTGGGGCAATAGCACTCTACTAATAGTAAAATTCACAGTTTATAGATGTTTTCTGTACATTTATTAGGCTTTCCAGAAAGTCTTTTCGTTTATTTTCAGATTTCCATTGAAAAACACAAGACTTTGAATAAAAACCAGAAAAATAACAAGTTCACCAATTAACCTACCGTAAATACTGTAATAGTACCCCACCTGTAATACAGTCCCACCTGTAATACAGTACCCTACCTGTAATACAGCAACCCACCTTCCCTCGTACGGTCGCGTAGTCGCAAAACTTTTTAGTATTTCATTTTTTCAAAGCGCCCGTACTTTCAAAAGATTCGTTTTGGTATCAAAAATAGCCTTGAATCTCAGCTATTTTTTGATACCAAAGCGCGCATTGTAGCATAAACCAGTGTCGAGAAAAACTCGTTCAAAGCTAGAGCTACGCAACACTCCACACCGTCATTATGCGGGTGGGTACGATTACAGTATTTACGGTATGGTTTTCTCTAAATAAAAGTGTTTATTGTTTAACTTCCCAAGCTCTTAAGACAATTTCGGTTCACTTTCAAGCAAATTCGAGAGTGGAAACGGGGTTTTTTCGTAAAAATCTATAAAAGCTCTACAAAGAAATTGGCTGAATCAATTTCTCTGAAACCTTGGCTATACATCTAACTTTTTATGCTCTATCTTTTATCTATTGACACATACATAGGTTTCCTTAGCTAAACTGTCTAAACATCATCCCTTTTTCACTCCCCGACTTTACGCTCTCAAAAAAATTCTAAAAATAAGACATTTTAAACCTTTTTTTAATGTTATTTTGCAGAAAAATAATTAGAGCTTTTCTAATGAAACAAGCTGTAGTTCAATTGGTGCATTTGTTGGTTTTAAAGGGAAGTATGAAAAGGAATGAAAAGACTTTCTGGACAGCTGTGCTTGATAATGCACCAATTGAACTACGGTTTGTTTCCATTAGAAAGCCAACTAGTAACTAAATTACAGTAACTAGGCCGGAAACTATATATAAAGCCAGTACTATTTGGCCAGTACTTTTAGCTTCTTGAGGTTAATATCGAGGAGAAGATGCGAATGATGCAAATTAATACGGAAAATTACAGGAGTACCAGTTTTGGGATTGATAGGGACTTGAGTTTGATAGGTTATTAGGGCTTGAGCCAAACGCTTGAGCCTAAGCCAAGCCACTCATTCACTCACCACACTCTCTTCTTGCTTGGTCGCTCTTCAGCTGTGCCTTTAAATTTCCCATTCTCACAATTCTGTAGTGATTGAAATGATTGTTTCAGCGGTTTCTTTTTGATATCCTTTGGATAGGAAGCATTGTATGGTTTCCGGTTCACAAAATTGTAGAGCACTTGCGCGACGGGGCCCGGCCGATCAGCGGCTCCCAGATGGCCAGCTCCCTGAATGGATTTCAATTTCAATTCAATTCAATTAAAAACCCATAAATGTAAATCTTCTCTAAATTGAGTTCTCACCTTGATCGTCAAGAAATCGATTTGTTTCTCGAATCGCTCAATCGCTCCAGCCATCACCGGTTGAAACTCGGCGCTTTTCTGGTACCACCAATAGTCTCGAGGAGCTAATTTCTAAAAATTAAATATCTAGCAGATATTTTATTGGTCTAAACATGAAATCTCTATTCATGAAATCTCTAAAAGCTTTTAAAAGCTTAAAAAATCTTACTTTAATTACTTTAATTACTTTAATTAAACATTACTTTAATTCCCAACGTTTTCGCCACTCGATTCAACCACCAATGTGTTTGCCAATGGCTGCAGACCTGAACATTCTTAATTGCAGGTAAAAATGCTAAAGTTTACCGTATCCGTATCTCCATTGTAAAATAAAAGACTCATATTGTTTTGCTTATAATAGTAAGAATTGACGATTCGAACGATGAAAGCGTCCAGCTCCAATGGCCAACTTTGGTCATAGAGATCGCCGACGGTGCCGCTGAAAATTGAGATGTTATAGAGTTGGAGACGTTATAGAGATTGGGCTAATTGAGTTAATTTGGTAGTTTGTTTATGGTAGTCTTTGAAAAAGCTTTAACTTTGACTCCTTTGATTTTGACTCCTTTGACTTTGACTCTAACTTTAATGAAGTTTAGCAAGACAAGCCAAATCAGACCATTTAACAGTTAAAGCCAAACCATTTAACAGTTAAAGCCAAGCCATTTAACAGTTAAAGTCAGACCATTTTAACACTTAAAGTTGCTCAGCAATCAGCACCTTGTCATGCTCGTATTCATGCTTTACCGCTTATAAAGCCCACTTGAAATGTTTCCACTCTTTTCCAACTTCATCCGGAATATGCATGGCTTCGCGAATGCCCGGTTGATTCATGAAAACAGTTGCGGCCGATCCGCCCCAACACGGGAAACCGTTGAGATGATCGGTCGAGTAAAGGTTGATCATTTGCTGAAACGGAAAAAGGACAATTGGCAACAAAATCTAATCAATTTTATCAGCTACTCTACAAAAGATCGAACCGCATTATCCACAAATCCGTCGGCTCGAACAGGCGGCACTTTGTCGGTCCAAGGGCTCAACCCGCAATCCAGATACAAACTGTACATGTCAATCACGGCACTTGACGGGTTCCACGTTTGCTTTGTTTGACGAATCGTCTGAATATTCAGTATAACTCTATATTAATCATAATCGTCTAAAATATTTCGTCTAATATCCATTATAAAAAAGTTCAACACACCTCATTTGCACACCAAGGATCAGCGCCGTCTTTTTGGATACAAATACCCATCAGCTCCCGCATACAAATATTGATCGTAGAAATCACAAGTGGTCGGATCTTTGACTCCTTGACAACAGCGACTGATGAAATTGTCGTATTCACTGAAAAGAGTCATAAGGTCAGCTAAAAGTCTAAAGTTACTATTTTCCTTGTAATCCGTAAAGGTAGAGCTGATGAACGGCCACGTTGAGGTTGTAGACTTGACTCACGAAGCCGGATTGGACAGCGATTCCCTGCGAAAGAAGCGAAAGAATTATAGTTTCGTAAAACAGCAAAGTCATAGCTGGTGAAATGGATTGGGATAATGTAAACTCAATTAGATATTAGAGTTCAGTTAGATATTAGAGCCAGGGTTGTTCTAATCGAGCTCTAGGACCTGAAAACCAGGTCATGCAAGGCTCGAGCTCACAGAAGCCAGGTCATGCAAGACCCGAGCTCACAGAAGCCAGGCCATGCAAGGCTCGAGCTCACAGAAGCCAGGTCATGCAAGGCTCGAGCTCACAGAAGCCAGGTCCAAGGTCTAGCTTCTGGCGGACCTAGGAATTTTTGTGGGCAAGGCCTATATTAGATTCAGGTCAGGGATATAGTAGATTCAGGCCGCAGCAAAACCCATACCTGGCTCCTGCTTTTCAGGACTAAGCCGTTAGTCCTGAAGAGTAGCCTTTAGAATCACCTGGATTGGACTACTGATTGAACTAGAATCACCCAGATTGGCTACTCCAAACGAATTTTGTAATTTGAAGAGAATCCGAAACGAGACTTAATGCGAAAAGGATGCTTTAGATTTTAAGCACAGATGACTTTAAATTATTGAACCATAAAGGATTTGTGGCTCAATAATTTAATCGCTTGGTTCAAAGATGGCTGAGAAAAAGCCTGTAGAGACAGACGGACAGACAGACGGACAGACAGACAGTTTTGTTCCAACCTTGAAATTGATATCAGTTCTTCCCGATTGAATCGCTTGAATCAGCGCATCGGCCAACATCGGAATGTACACACCGGCGTAGCTTTCACCCGAAATGTAGAAACCATTTTGTTTGTATTCGGGGAAAATGTTCTCGAAGAAGTCGATGACCGCATTCAAGTTGTCGGATGCTGTCTGGAAATACGTTTATTGCTGGGAATTGGGACTTTAAATTACTCCATTATTCGTGTAACTGTAATCGAGATCATCATTCGATTGATAGGACCATCCAACGCCACGTGGTGATTCCAGGTATAACATGTTGGCGAACTGAAAAATGATCGACTTCTTCGAGATTCAAGGGATAGAATTTTAGAATTCATTTGAGTTGGAGCCTCTTCCCAAGTAATTTGGCCAAAGATTACCGTACTGTTTCTCAAGTTTTTAGCCTTTCTGTTGATTGTGGGACATTTGATACGCGCTCCGCCCTTTTGCCAATGGCAATCCAACTTTGAACTCGAATTTCTTCGTATTGGGTTGTGCAATTTAAATAGTTTTTGTACTAATTGAAAGAGAAAGACTTGGCACATCTAATGGTATCAAGAATCTTTAAATTGAACAGCACAACACCAAGATATTTGAGCTCAAAGTTAGATTGGCAAAAGGGGCGGAGCCAGAAAGACGCCCCGCCCCCTTTGCCATTGCAATCCAACTTTAACCTCAAATTTCTTGGTGTTGGGCTATCCAATTGCAATAGTTTTTGTACCAATCGAGAGAGAAAGACTTGGCGCATTCAATGATATCAAGAATATTTAAACTGGACAGCCCAATACCAAGATATTTGATTCAAAGTTAGATTGCCAATGGCAAAAAGGGTGGGGCGCGTATCAAATGTCCGATAACCTCCCTGTTGCTTTGGTAAATTGGATAGACTAAATAACAACTACTAGCAGGGTTACGGTGATTTTAGAGTTGAACACATTTAGAAAAACAGAAAAAGGGACACGCTTTAATCCCAGAAGCGCAATATTAGCTCACCAAAAATTGAGGAGTGAAATTTAAGCAAAAGCTCAGTTTCACCTAACTTTATCAACTTCATCAACCCACCTTATTCCAAGAGAAGATATTTTCAAACATTGTGTGCCCCTTCTCTGATTCACTCGGAATGGGCCATTCTCGTAGAATTGCCCTTGGATTCCCGAGCTTCCCGGTCCTCCGCCAAGCCACAAGACAACCGGGGTATTCGTTGGTTGTGATGACTCCAAGAACCAATAGTGATAGAAATGAGTGGGTGATCCCTTTCAAGTAGCCGGAAAAAATGACGAAAATCGATGTCCCAGGTGACCCCGGGGAGGTTATGAACCTGAACAATGGGTTTAGGCAAGAAAAAGACAAGTTTCATCCAGAAACTATCAGCCGTTAGAGTTTAAGAGACATTACACGAAAGACAATTACTTGATCAGCGGTTTTTCTCCTTGTCGGCTCGTCATCCTTCGGCCGATATTCGCTGCGAAGTGGAGACGCCTTCAGTGAGACATCGCTGAGATCTCGTCTATAAAAATACATCTGAAAACTCTGTTCCTGCAAAGTCATTTACGCGATTGTGGAGTTGGTGACGAAGTTGCGAACGAGTTGCAGAATTTGGGCGGGTCGAGAGAGAGGTACGAAATGGCCGGCACCCTGGAAACGTTAAAAATGGAAAAAGCAGGGTAAGGTCTCAAGGATTGCTAGGAATTCTTGAGTTTTCAGGAAAAGCGATGGTTGAATTAAGTTTCGGGTGGACTTTATGAATTACCAGCTAACAAAACCCGGCTAACGGTGGGTTTCTTTGGGATGTTTTTGGCATAATCGCCTTGGCGCCGTCGGGAGCACACTTGTCCATGGCTCTGGCCCTGTCGGGGAGCGCGCTTGTTCACGGCCTGGCCCGTCGGGAGCACACTTGTCTACGGCCTGGCCCCGTCGGGAGCGCGCTTGTCTACGGCCTGGCCCCCGTCGGGAGCGCGCTTGTCTATGGCCTGGCCCTGTCGGGAGCGCGCTTGTCTACGGCCTGGCTCCGTCGGGAGCACACTTGTCTACGGCCTGGCCCCGTCGGGAGCACACTTGTCTACGGCCTGGCCACGTCGGGGAGCGCGCTTGTCTACGGCCTGGCTCCGTCGGGAGCGCGCTTGTCTACGGCCCACACGAGCCAGGTTCGACCCCCATAGTGCCACTCTCATTTTGACTTTTAAATTCTTAAAGCTTAAAAAGCACAACTCTATTATATCCTAAGACTTTTTTAAAAGAAATCTCAGTTTTTTTTGGCCCAAAGATGACTGAGAAAAAGCCCGTAGAGACAGACGGATAGACAGACGGACACTGTCCTTTTATCTATAGTAGATGATTCCCTCATCTACCTTAAACAGTCTTTTATACTAGAGAAGTTCTAAAAGCTTCATTTTTGCTTAATAGAGCTTCATTTTTGTAAATGTAATTGCCGCAAAAAAAAACTCACTTTAATAGTCGCAAAGGTGATCTGACGATCGAAACTTTTATAATAGCCACCGGTCGAGCCGACATACAGCGAATCGTTGAGTGAAAAGCGCCAATCTCCTCCATTAGTTAATGCCTGGAATGATCAAGAATAATGGAATGATGGAATGATCAGGAATGTTGGAATGGTGATATTGGATTATTGGATCAGGGTTTTGTCTAATAAATCAAACATTTTGGTAATTATTTATGTAATTTTGCAAATTTTATTCAGTTTCACCTGCTGGTTGAGTGCCTCGACGAACCACTGCGCGCCGACGTGATTCGATGACAAATCCAAGTCACCGTTGTAGAGCAAAAGCTGGAAAGGGATTTTGGGGAAAGTATTCAAATGTAGCTCAATTGTAGAATTGTAAAATGTTCGCTTTACACAAACCCTCAAATTATTTTGCCTCCAAATGAGCGAATTGACGAGTCTTCCCAATGCAATGCTGATGTCTCCGCTTTGTTGTTGTCCGTAATTGGTGAGTGTTCTGAAAAAGTGAAAAATTCGAACGCTGGTGAAACTTTGAAAAGAAACAAAGAAAAGTTTTACTTTACTTTCAAAGTTTTGCTTACTCAAAGCTTTCTACTTACTCAAAGCTTTACTTCAAAGCTTTACTTTACTTTCAAAGCTTCTCAAAGCTTTCTTTACTTTAAAGCTTTACTTCAAAGCTTTACTTTACTTTCAAAGTTTTACTTTAATAGATCGTCAAAAAGTGTAATCCTTCCATCAAGGACAAAAACTATTTAAATTGAACAGCCCAACACCAAGAAATTTCAGCTTTAAGTTGGATTGCCAATGGCAAAGGGGACGGGGCGCGTATCAAAGGTCGTTCTGGCTCCGCCCCTTTGCAAATCAACTTTGGGCCAATATATCTTGACATTGGGCTATCCAGTTTAAATATTCTTGATATCATTGAATGCGCCAAGTCTTCTCTCTCCATTGGTACAAAAACATTGCAATTGGAAGCCCAACACCAAAATTGAGGTTAAGTTGGATTGCCATGGCAAAGGGGGCGGGGCGTCTTTCTGGCTCCGCCCCTTTTGCCAATCTAACTTTGAGCTCAAATATCTTGGTGTTGTGCTGTTCAATTTAAAGATTCTTGATACCATTAGATGTGCCAAGTCTTTCTCTTTCAATTAGTACAAAAACTATTTAAATTGCACAACCCAATACGAAGAAATTTGAGTTCAAAGTTGGATTGCCATTGGCAAAAGGGCGGAGCGCGTATCAAATGTCCCACAATCAACGAAAGGCTAAAAACTTGAGAAATAGTACGGTAATCTTGGCCAAATTACTTGGGAAAGGCTCCAACTCAATGAATTCTAAAATTCTATCCCTTGAATCTCAAGAAGTCGATCAACAGTTCGCCAACATGTTATACCTGGTACCTGGCCCCTTTTGCAAATCTAACTTTGGGCTCAAATATCTTGACATTGGGCTGTCCAGTTTAAATATTCTTGATATCATTAGATGCGCCAAGTCTTTCTCTGTCGATTGGGACAAAAACTATTTAAATTGCACAGCCCAACACGAAGATATTTGAGTTCAAAGTTGGATTGCCAATGCCAAAGGGGGCAGGGTCTTTCTGGTCTTTCTGGCCCTGCCCCTTTTGCCAATCTAACTTTGGGATCAAATATCTTGGTGTTGGGTTGTTCAACTTAAAGATTCTTAGTATCTAGTTCTTAGTATTAGATGCGCCAAGTCTTTCTCTGTCGAGGTCGTCAAAAAGTGTAATCCTTCCATCAAGAACTCAAAAAAAAAAAACTCACGAGCAAGATCGCCATTGAATAGGCTTTTGTTGATCAGCCAATACATGGATTTCACTCTGCACATCGGCTCGTTGGAGATAATTTGTGATCGCGTCTTCGGCAAAACAGGGAAAGCCATCAAATGGATCAGAGGAGTTGTAGTTGGCAGCCAACTGAAGTGGATTGGATTTGAATTTAATTAAGTATTTCCAATCGAACCTCTAGTCCATAAAACTCGTTAGCCGATGCTTGATTCTTGGCCAATTGATAACACTCTTGGTAGATATTGTAGGGATCAACTCTGGAAGGGAATCGTCACTTTTGAATTCGTTTCTTCTTTTTAGTTGACAAGACTACGTTTAAAATGGAATTACTCTGGTTTCTGGAGTTTTGTGTAAAAAGCGTAGGCCATTTTCCCACAGTCCGAGTTCTGAAAGTCGTACGAGTAGTAATCGCAGTTCATCGGAGAGGAATCATTTCCACAACATGTTGCAGTGAGGTTGTCGAAATCTCTGAAAAAGAGTGCAATAAAATTGGTCTATAACCATGATTCTTGGTCCTAAAGATACAGGATAAGACTTCCGAGCCAGCAGGATCAGACCAAGAGCTGTTCTGGCTTCACTGTGGGTCACAAAAAGTTTCAGGTCAGACCAAGACCTAACCCGGCTTCACTGTGGGTCAAGTTCCAGGGTCAAGTTCCAGGTCTGGATCTGGCTACTCCAAGAAGGCCTTGCTTTGCCTTCTTGGACTGGGTCCGGTTAAAACATCCTTAATCAAGGTATTCTAAAGTACTTTTTCTTTTTCTAATTCTAAAGTACCTAGTGCTAAGTCAGCAATGAACAAAACATATTTCGCAGGTGCTCCTTGGCAGGACAAACGAAGAATAATCATTTTGAATAGAATAACCACAAAACTTTATCACTAGCAATCAGGCTGTCTGTCAGGCTGTCTGTCACAAGCTCTGTCAGGCTATCAATTAAGCTAGATGTTTCTTTCAGCTCTAATTTTCTTTAAGCCACTTATTAAATTACTTATTAAATTAAAGGACACTTATTAAAGGAGTGCAATAAAAAAAGTAGGTATATAACCATGATTTTTGAATCTTTTTAATACTAGAAATACAGGGTCAAACCAAGAGCTGGTTTGGCTTCATTGTGGGTCACAAAAGGATCCTAAACCAGATCTAGATCTGGCTACTTGACCCGACTACTTGACCTGGTTACTTGACCTGGCTACTTGACCTGGCTACTTGACCTGGCCTTGCTTTGCCTTCTTGGACTGGGTCCGGTTAAAACACCCCTAATCAAGGTATTCAGTTGCTTTGGTTTAAAGAATTGATGAGCTGAATATCTCCAATCACTTACATTAAATGCACTATAACAACATCTAAATATCAGCTGTGCTAACAAATTTGAGTTTGAGTGCATAAGTTGAAAGACAAACTCTTTAAAATTCATCCCCTTTGCGTACGAGAACTCAATCATCGCATTGTAGTGCTTTCGAATGGATAACAATCCGTTTCCAATCAGAATTCCCTAAATGAAAGCAATGTTTGGGTAAATGGTTGCTGTTTAACTTGTAAATTGATTGTATTCTTTCCAGCCGAAATATTGTCAGCAATGACATTTCCGAGCGTTGTTACGTAGACCGATGCATAGCCTTCACCGGACAGGAAAACACCTGGAGAATTGAATTTTTTTGAAATATTCTTTAGTTCTAAACCATTTTTGCCGGCATCTGGATAAACGGTGAAGAAATCATTGAGCGCAAAGTAGTTGGCTTGAGCAACCTAAAGGATTGGGGAATCTTGGGAGATCGAGTCCACCGGTATTCGTCTAGGAAAACGAGTCCACCGGTATTCGTCTAGGAAATCGAGTCCACCGGTAATCGTCTATGAAATCGAGTCCACCGGTAATCGTCTAGGAAATCGAGTCCACCGGTAATCGTCTAGGAAATCGAGTCCACCGGTAATCGTCTAGGAAAACGAGTCCACCGGTAATCGTCTAGGAAATCGAGTCCACCGGTATTCGTCTAGGAAAACGAGTCCACCGGTAATCGTCTAGGAAATCGAGTCCACCGGTAATCGTCTAGGAAAACGAGTCCACCGGTATTCGTCTGGGAAATCGTTTTAAACGGCAATATTTCCAAAAGAGTACCGTAAATCGTCTAAATCCAACCACCAGTTAATCTAATCAACTAATCAATCAATTAATCAATTAATTAATCAATCAATCAATCAACTAATCCACAATCAACTAATCAATCAACTAATCAATTAAAGTTTCGGTATCATTGGCTGAGTCTTGGGTCTTTTCATCGAATGATATCAAAAAATGGAGTGATTGAATGATTGACAGGTTGAGTAGGGTGGTTTTAAAGTTTTAAACGGTAGTTTTACAATAGGTGCCTTTTAGAAAACACCAGAGCCGAATGGAAACTGACTGTAGGACATTATGATAAAAACGTTGCCTTTTCAGATAAATCAAAGAAAATCTTGTTGGACATTGAAAGCCATCAATGAACTCGATTCAGTCTTGAACCACTAGAAGTGATTTTCAGCTATGATTGCTGTTTTGATAGATTGCTCTCGTGAAATTTGCGTTTCGTTGGCACCATCGCTAGTCGAACGGTCATTAAGTCTTCCCTGTCGTCGACGACAACGAACAAGGCCAGGCCTATGAGATGACCAACTATAGAGTTGGCGAGTATTCTCCGCAAGGCGTAGACACCAACGGTTTCCGTTGCCGCGACAGTAGCGGTCGGGCGTTTCTAGCTGCTTATAGCTGTGTCGTAGCACACTGTGACGCGAGGCGTTTACAGTATTGATCCACCGGCAGGTTCACCTACCGGTACCTTGTTACGACTTTTGAGGTGCCTATGAGAGTTGGCGAGTATTCTCCGCAAGGCGTAGACACCGTTTTCCTTTTCATTTTCAGATAAATTAAAGAAAATCTTGTTGGACATTGAAAGCCATCAATTTTAATTTTAATTTAATTTAATTTAACTCGATTCATTGTTTACCTTTGCATCATCCCACGTCGTACTCGTTTGTGGATTGAAGCCAACTCCAGCCGGTGATTCCAAGTATAAAACATTGGAAAACTAAAATTCTAAAATTCTAACAACTTTCTAGCATTTTCAGGCTAACTTTCTAGCATTTTCAATTTATTTTTAGCCCTTTCTCTAGACTCTGATGAGAGATAAGGGAGTTTTGGCATCAGAACTTTGATGAACCTTTGCCCAAAAGCATTCGGTCGAGCACTGCTTCAATAATGTAATCAAAACAAACCCGATTCCATGCATAAACATTCTCATTCAGCTGCTTTCCATCTTGACTCGGTCGGAATGGACCATTCTCGACAAAGAGTCCACTCAATGATGAACATCCGGGTCCTCCATTCAGCCAGACGATCAATGGCGCGTTTTGCACAGATTGTTTGGCCATGACAAGCCTGTGAATAGATTATTCTGTTCTTTTGGCTGGTAGGCTTTTGGCTTTTGGCTGGTAGTCTTTTGGCTTTTAGTTCCTTTTAGTTTGAGCACTTAACTTTGAGTAAACTTTGAGTAAACTTACCAATAATGAAACTGAGCCGTCACTCCATTCAGCGTATCATTTGCGCTCAAAAAGCCGGAGTATTGAGTGAAATCTTCGACAAAAGTTGATCCGGGAAGCCATCGAATCTAAAAATGGCATTTGGTTTGAGAGGTCTCAACTCTTTTTATTGAAAACCTCTTCTGAATGTTGACTCGGATAGGCGCTTTAAAGCGCGACACAGTTACCGTAACCCACTCAGTTTTACAGTAACCAATGGATTCTTTGAAGAGGAAATCTGGATATCTATCGTATCTGGATATCCATGGTAGCAAATCTATCTATAGTAGCTAGCCGAGTCATCATTCAAAAAAGTTCCCCAATTCCTTCACTTACCCGATCAGCCGCAGCTCTTGGCGTCTCCTGACATGTTGAGAGCAAAAAGAGCCCAAAAAGGAGTGATATTATTCGAAGTATCATCAACAGCACTGGAAAATAAAAAACATGTATTTAGTTTCTCGAGAAATCTCGAGAAATACAGTCAAAATTTAGAGAATTTGACTGAACTACCATAATGTGAGTTTACAAGGCACTTAAACTACCATAAATCTTAGCCTAGCTTGGCTTAGCTTAGCTTAGCTTAGCCTAGCTTAGCCTAGTTTAGCTTAGCCTAGCTTAGCTTAGCTTGGCTTAGCTTAGCAAGCGTGGCTTAGCTTAGCCTAGCTTAGCTTGGCTTAGCTTAGCCTAGCTTAGCTTGGCTGAGCTTAGCCTAGCTTAGCCTAGCCTAGCTTAGCCTAGGCCAAGCTAAGCTTGAGCCAGCATAGCTTAGCTTAGCACCAGCTTAGCTAGCATACAGTACTGGACAATGAAATATGATATTTGAAAAACGATCGTCACTTTCGCGTCTGTAACTCCCTTGTCTTTGAGTTTAAACTATTAGTGTTATACATTTTCTGAAAGCTCTTTTCAAGGCTAACACAATGGTAATATTAATATTTAGAAATACGGTAAAAGACAAGGGAGTTACCAGACTTTTCGCTAAAGTGACGATCTTTTTTCTCAAATATGATATCATTGTCATTGTCAATCATTCAATCATTGTCCAGTAGTGTAGCTCCAAAAACGTTTATGCTGAAAGATTTCAATAGTTTTAAGAGAAAATCAAAGGAAAAGAACCAAAGTTTGCCGATTTTTTTGCCCATTTTTCAAGACTAATTTGAAAGCGACAGTTTTTCGTTGTAATTTTCTTTTCCCGGGGTGAGCCGCTCCCGAAAAAGTGATAGTAGTTTTGATAAGGAGATTTCCCTCTTCACCCAGTGGCCATTTCCTCATTCCAAAAGCCTGTATTAAAAGAATTCCACGATTAGAGAGAAAAATTGGGGTGAATATCACGGGCATTTTACGATGACCACTCGACACGGGGAGAATTTCATGTTCCCCTAGGCAAATCGGTGACAGAAAATGGAGGGAAAAGGAGTGAGAATTTGAGCGCCTCGTAAAACATTAAAAGCATAAAAAGCTCATCACACATCACATGAGTATTAATGATAGACGAAATGATTTGACTCTTTGTTTGCTTTACGCACGATTCAAAGGGAATTGTAGTGGCAATACTAGAGTTTTCTCTCCAGAGCTCTCCAGAGCTAATAAACCAAAAGCAATGGTTAGCAAAGCGTTAACTAATGGCCTTAAATTAAGTGGCTTGGCCTGAAAGATCGGGCCTCGGTCCAGCCCTGTTTTCTACCTGTTTTTGCCTGTTCAAGTCCTGTTTCTTGCTGCTAAAGTGAGCTCCATTTCAAAAATGGGTTCACTTTCAATTTGGGTTCACTTTCAAGCAAATTCAAGAGTGGAAATGTGTTTTTCATAAAAATCGATCAAAGCCTCTAATTGGTTGAATTAATTTCTCTGAAACCTTGGCTATACATCTAACTTTTATGCTCTATCTTTTATCTATTGACACAAACATAGGTTTCCTTAGCCAAACTGTCTAAACATCATCCCTTTTTCACTACCCGACTTCACGCTCCTAAAAAATCCTGATATAAGACATTTTAAACCCGTTTTTAATGTTATTTTGCAGAAAAATAATTAGCTTTTCTAATGAAACAAGCTGTAGTTCAATTGGTGCATTTTTTGGTTTTAAAGGGAAGTATGAAAAGGAACGAAAAGACTTTCTGGACAGCCTAATAGAGAAATTTTTGCTTCAAATCTTCAAAAGTGTATTTCTTTACCCGATTTCTACAAATTTTTGCGTAAATTTCCCAGCAAATCAACTTTGCAAGCCTTGACCGTTACCACGTCAAACATTGACCGTTAACACGTCAAACATTGACCGTTAATACTTCAAACCTTGCTTAAAAGCCAGCAATTCGTCGGGAATCGCTTTCAAAGTACCATTCGAATAAAGTTTGTCTTATAATAAAGTAAATTCTAGTAAAATCGTTATAGTGGTCATTATGCCAAGTATCATAATTATACAATTCATATCTAGAGCAGGGATGCTCCAAAACCAACACTTTTTTAGGGTTTTACGGTTTTAAACTTTATCAAAATGAGGGTAATCTTCGGGCAGTTTTCTACAAGTTACTATATTCCCATTCAGTAACAACAAAACTTCCCTTAGCAATAAAAGAAAGCAAAAGAATACCAAAAGAATAAAAGCTTTTTGATAAAAGATAAAAGATAAAAGATAAAAGAATAAAAGCTTTGAAATATAAATCAAGTCAAGCGATATGTTTGTGCTTAAATCTGAGATTCTGTGCTCGTTTGTTGAGTGTTCTCATTAGCTTTCCAGATTCCAGATCAGACCATGGGGATTGCTAACAATAGGAAATTGTAATCGTTCTTTATACGTTCTTTGTAGTAAGCATTTTTTTATCTTTTTAAAGAAATATTTAATCCTTAACTCAAATGCAAGTCTAATTTCAACTTTGTAGCTTTTTGAATAGTTTATTTGTACTTAAAGCGGAAGGCTAGAGCTGAAGGCTAAAGCTGAAGGCTAAAGCTGAAGGCTAAAGCTGAAGACTAAAGCTGAAGGCTAAAGTTGAAGGCTAGAGCTGAAGGCTAGAGCTGAAGGCTAGAGCTGATGGCTAAAGCTGAAGGCTAAAGCTGAAGGCTAGAGTTGAAAGCTAAAGCTGAAAGCTAAAGCTGAAGGCTAAAGCTGAAGGCTAGAGCTTAAAGCTAGAGCTGACAATTTATGCATAATACCCGTGATAGAAAAAGATCACAAAGAGTGCAAAGAAAAATAGTGAATGAGTGGCAGCTTTCGGTGTCGAAGTTGGATCAACTGGATCAACAATGACAGGTGTACTGTAGTCGTTTCCATTCACAAAATTATAGATCAACTGGAAGAGTTGGGCTGGCCGATCGGCGCCTGAGACATGACCTGCTCCCTGAACAAGATACTTTGTTTTTTTACGTCACTTGTTATTCTTGGCTTTGTCTTTGAATCTTTGGCTAACGACAAGAGCTCACCTTTATTGTGATCACATCCAAATAATCCCCATATTTTATCTGATATCCAGCCATTCGTTTCTGATATTCTCGATCAAGTTGATAGTACCATTCGGTTCTCGATTGTTTCACCTGAATATTTATTTGTTTAAAGTATTCTCAACCTGTACTTTTTACACTCAAACTACTCTTTTACACTTTTTTACACTACACTTTTACGGAAGCTACAACTGAGCCCAGAGCCAGTAAGCCAGGTAAAAGCAGTACTTTTTGTGCGCCAATTCAGTCCAGGCAAAGTCAGAAGCCTGACTAGCACCCGGAAAATGGTGAACAACCCAGCAAAAGTAATTCTCACTGGAAGATTGTTTCCTGTAGCAACTTCATCGGCGAACCATTCAGCGCCCAAATGATTACAATGGAGATCGGTGTCACCATTATAGATTAGACTCTAGAATGTAATTAGACTCTAGAATGTGATTAGACTCTAGAATGTAATTAGACTCTGGAATGTAATGAGACATTGCTATTTTGAGCCGAATCTCGAAGTCATCTTTTCCTTCAAACATACCTTGACCTTCGCTTCTATCGCCTTATCGAAGTACGGTCTCATGGTGAAGCGTTGCTTCGTGTATTTGTCTTCAATGCTAAAATGCAGAGCTTTTACAGAATGTGATTTTATTGATCCAAATAAGTCTGACAAAAATAACCTTGTACTTTGCCAATCTGGGAGATCCTTTTGGAATATGCAGTGCTTCTCGAAGCTCACTTTTGTCTCATGTAAGTCCTCAATGAATCATCCATAAAGCACCAGTATCCCAAAAAAGGATCATTAGATGAAAGGGGATATGTGTTGTTCTAAAAGTTATGCTTTCAAGAAGTTTACTCAACTTTTGATTACCAACTTTTGTGCTTTTGTACCCACTTTTGATTATCACAGTGTACTTTGTGCTCAAAATCAAAAGCATTCTATTTTTGGTGCACCGAAAACCCTCTCTTTCCTTCACTGTACCTGTACACCAGGTTTCACCGGCTGTTGATAACAATCCTGATAGATTTGATATCCATTATTCGGTGATCCAAGATAATACTTCAGCACCAGAGAAACGAGCTAAAAGAGCTAAATCGATACTTAAACAAAAATTTCCTCAAAACCGTATCGAAACAGGAATCATTTTGGTATTTTGGAGTCGGGAAAGTCGGCCAATCGATATGTTCCGAGAATTTGCACTCAAATTCGTTTGATCTAACCGGACAGCAAGTATCGAGGAGATTCGAGTAAGCACTGGAAATCTTGCTTTAAAGCTTGAACTCTTTATATTATTATATATCGTTATACCTAAAAGGCATTAATCCGTGAAAGTACAAAATATGCATCATACTGTTGATATTGTGACTGTAGTCGATCAGGCCGTTTGCTGTGGCCATTCCCTAGAATTTTTGAATGCTCATTGTTGACAGACTAAAAGGACAGACAGAATTGACAGACTAAAAGATTGTAAACTAAAAATGGGGCTTTTGGTAAAATTGGGTTCAAAAACTGATGGCTGAACCAAATGAGATCTAGTTTGTATCATTTAAAAGAAATTTCTTTTCTCAACAAAATGGCTTTTAAGAGATTTTGAAGGGCTTTTGTTTTTGAACATTTTCGGAAGTGCAAAGAAAGTTGTCAAAATTGGAAAAATAGAAAAACCCCGACTTTACAGCATTTTTGACAAGTGCTAATTTTGATTTTTCACGCAAAATAAAGCTCTTAGTTTCAATAAAGAGGGTTTAATTCCTCCTCAATTCCAAATTCTTTTCCATTCATCCATCCATCTTTACTTTAATATTAGCTTGGTAAATATGAAAGGTTATTTTTTTGATCATTTTTAACATAACAGAAAAATTTATTTAAACACTTTCAAAATCAAATGTGTTCACCACGAGCATTAATAACTTCTTTCCAACGTTGCCCCAAATCACGAATACCGTCCTTGTAAAATTGAAGATTTTTAGAGACAAAATAGTTGGCAACCCAATTTTCGATGTCCTGCTTTTGTTTGAACTGCTGTCCAGAAACTGCTTGTTTCATTGACCGAAAGAGATGGTAATCCGATGGGGCTAGATCAGGGCTGTATGGTGGGTGTGGAAGAAGTTTCCAGCTCAACTTATCGATTTGTTCTTGGACGATCTTTGAAATGTGAGGCCTAGCATTGTCGTGAAGAAATCTGACCTTCGATGGATCGATCCTCTTTTTCCTCAATGCTGGATCGACTCGACCCATTTGTTCTGCATAAAGTCTTCCGTCAACAGTGTCTCCTTTATCTAATATTTCAAAATGAGCCAATCCTTTAGCATTCCACCACACACAAAGCATAACTTTTTGGGAGGCTTCGGGATAGGATGAGAGGTCTGCTTCGAACTCAGCCACTTTCCATAGAGTTGAATGTTTTCATACGGAAGCCAAGTCTCATCAGATGTCAAAAAAATACTTCCAAAAGTCACGATGGCTAGCTTTACGTAGAAGAACAGAGCTCAAGGTGACTCGTGTGACTTTGTGGGCATCAGTGAGGTCGTGGGGGAGCCATTTCCCGCTTCGATATGATTTCCCAAGAACGTGTAAATGGTAACATGAGTGCATCCGAACTTTTCTGCTAATTTTCTACACTTTTGCGATGGATCCAAGTCAACCTCGTTCAGTAACAGCTGATCGTCCAAAGTAATCTTTCTATGTGGTGCATCTTCCAATGACTCGTTTTTTTTTGAAGCGATCGTACCAAACACAACATTGTTTGTAAGTAAGAGCAGTTTCTCCAAAAACAGTACAAATGGCATTCCGTAGCTTTCTTGTTTAACTTGAATTCAAAGAAAATGGCGGTCCTGATTTTAAATTTTTGGTCATCCATCTTTGCCGAGCTGAAACAATACAAATATTATTCAAAACAAAAAAGTTTTTGCAAAAAAACATGAGCACATTTTGACATATTATTGAGAAAAATTCTAGACAGCGAATGTTCTTTGTAACGACAGGGCAATATTTTTGTAAAAATAACCTTTCATATTTACCAAGCTAATATTATAGATTCTAGAGAGAGAGAATGTAAAACAAGCTTTACAACAAGCTTTACTCAATAGTACACCAACAAACCTTGAACTTTACAGGCAACTCTCCCTTTGTACTCCATCGATGATCTTTGAGCTCAACATTGGCACATAAACTCCACCATGACTTTCACCAATCACGTAAAGATCTCGTTGTTGAAATTCGGGAAAGATATTGTTGACAAAATCGGACAGAGCCGCGTAGTTTTCCTCCATTGACTTAAAGAAAAGAAATGAAAAGAAAAGAAATGAAATCTGTTACCAAGTTGTCAAAAATCTACAAAATCTTCAAATCAATTTAGCTGCAAACAGTTGTGATTAGAATTCCTTCAAAAACAACCCACATTGTCATCACTTAGAGTCGCATTTTCATTCGGATCATCGGAATATGAGTACCCCACTCCAACCGGTGATTCGATATACAAAATGTTGACAAACTGGAAGGAAAATATGCAAATAAAACCTTGTCTTTTCACACTTTATTCCAAGAAACCGGGTTTTCTCTGAGCGTTTTTCCATCAGGATTCAAAAGATATGGCCCATTCTCATAGAACATTCCGTACATTGAAGAGTCACCGGACCGCCATTCAGCCAAAGGAGAAGAGGAGATGAATCGGGGTTCGAGATTGAGGAAACGAACCTGAATCTTATGGTAATTCTTCAGTAATAATTCTTCAATTTACTTTACTTACCAATAGTGCAACTTGTGTTTTCCCAATCCGTTGAGGTAGCCGCTGTATTGGGCAAACTTTGACGATAGAGTGGCACCAGGAAGACTTGTGATCAAATCTTGTTCCTTAAAGGTGGTGTCCGAACTGTCCGAAGATTAGAACCGATTCTCGATAAGACAAAATTGTTGGCAGGTCGGTGTAGTAATATAGTTTTTCGATGAAGTAAATCGGTTTATCATTTCTCGGGTATTAAAAGAGGAAATCAGTTTAGGAGTGTCTATTTTTGGCTATTTTTGGTTTAAAAGCGTTTGGGATTTGTAGGAAAAATAGTACCAAATCTAAGGCAAAGATTTCGCCCAAAAAATTGAGCATAGTCAAGAAACGCGAAAGATCGCTCAGTCGTTCACCTCGCTTTTACTAGGGAATGCTGTCGAGTCAAGACCGAGTTTTCACATAAGCCCTGGCCCATCTAATAGAGTTTTCATCAAGAATTCTGAATCTGCTTTGAGTTTTTCCGAATACTGCTGCTAACGCATGATATTTGACATGCTAAATTTGGTTTACAACCTTTTCTCATCATTCCCCTAACTGTGCTCTGATGGCCTAATGGTTAGTGTGGTCACGTTCAAAACTTTTTTTGCCCCTAGTACGAATCCCTTCACTGCTTACTTTTCTGCTTTTTTGTTTGACTATCAAAAACTATTTTACTATTTTTTAGGGTTTTAAATAAGTTGACTTATCAGCAAAACTTATCAGTAAAACTTATAAGCCTTTCTTGAAGAGAAGATTCGCATCTTTTAACCCATTCGAAACCGCAGCGTTTTTTCTTTTTTTTCGTCTACGGACCAAGCCCTTTTTTGACATTTTTGACTCCGAAGCAGTTTATTTATGGTTGGAAAGATGTAAGAGAGTCTCCTACACCATTTATTTTTGATGAAGAACGATTTGGATTTGACTTCAGTACTTTTCAAGATCCTATCGATTATTGTTCTTATTTTATCGACGACAATATTTTAGTAGGCGAATCTAATAAACATGGAAAAAGGAAAACAAACTGGCAGGATTTCGATGCAAAATCTTTCAAGCTCTTCCTGGCTTCAAATGGGAATCGTCAAATTACCGAGGATTCGTGACTACTGGAGTAGCAGGCCTGGATTAGGAGGATTTTCCCACATGTCCCACATCATGTCAAGAGCAAAATTTGAATCCATTCTTCGCAACCTGCGTTTTTGTGATAATGAACTGGATCCTGCAGGAGATCGGCTTTATAAGATTAGAGCTATTATGGAACATTTCAATGCAAAGCCCGAGACTGCATTGATTCCGGGTAAATATGAAACATCTTTTTTGCCCACGTAATTTGTAGATCTGCTACAATCGCAATATACATGTAATGCTGAAAAACAGCAAAAAAAAGCAATTAATTGAATGAAAATAGCTCAATTAGCGCTGCAGCGAATAATCGCTGCAGCGGTCCGTTCCTGAGTTTTTGTTGCAGCGATTATTCGCTGCAGAAGTTTCGAATGGGTTAAATAATATTTAGTAAGCATAAGTCTATTTATATTACTACGCCTACCTGCCGATAATTTGGTTTTATTGAGAACCAGGCTTAATTCAGAACCCTCCTTTAAAAGAGTTATGCTATAGCTATGTTTTTTCTATGTTTGTTTATTACATCAACAAATTTATTGACTCTTGGTGGAAATTCAAAAGGATTAAAAGCCCAAGATTCCCGTCAAAGAGCCAATTTTTCTTTAAAAGGACTAGAACTTTGCATGAAGAACTCCAAGTGTTATCAAAGCCAACCTTTCTCGTTGATGCCTCAATTTTGTTCGATGTTGTTCTTGTTCTGGTCATCGTTTTCAAGTTTATCGCTGACTTTGAAAGAATCTTTGCTGGTTTTAGATCAATCTTGGAGATATCTGTGCTAAAGTAGAGATCTTTTTGTTGTTTATTTTGGCGAACCTGTAATTTTGATCATTCATGAAATTGTACATGATTTGCAGGGATTGCATTGGTCGATCTAAACCGATCCAATGACCTGCACCCTGAAAAAGGTTTCATATAGTAAAAGCGCTCATTGTTGAATGGAAACGTTTACAATACAAAAATTGATTCAATATAAATCTCATTTAGATAAATTTGGGTAACTGAATCGATGCTTTTGATAAAAGTTACCACAATGCACAATGCAAATAAAAAGTAAGTAGGTAATTAAATTGGAAAAAGTCAACTCGTACAATCCATTCAGCTTTTATCATACTTTGATTGTTGAGAAATCCAAATTGTTCTCATATTTTTGTCACATATCCACCAGTGGTCGCTTTATAAGCATTCGAATCAAAGTTGAACAGCCATTGCTCAGAATTTGAAGTGATCTGCAAAATGTTGAAACTGTTTGTGGAAAAATTTTTACTTTCACTCCATTTATTCCATTGAGAAAGCGCTCAACTCCAATGTGATTGTAGACTAGATCAACATCACCATTCAGGATCAAAATCTAGATTTTTGATCGATTCTATAATTCTATTCTAAAAATACCTTCATGTCATTTTGTCGGTAAATAAAATGTGATAGAATGTAGGGGAGATTCGTCTTGAATGAGTAATCAGCTTGATATTCGGATACATTTCTAAAAGAAAGATCAGTTAAAGTTACTGATTTCTTGCGGATGAAATGAAAAATTCTAGTCTTTTTTGATTGGTTGGTTGGTTGGTTGGTTGGTTGGTTGGTTGGTTGGTTGGTTGGTTAGGTTGGAAAATTGGTTAGGTTTTTGGTAAAAGGAAGTTAAAGCCTGAAATCAAAGCCTAGGCCTTAAATAAAAAAACAAAGACTCTAAAAGAACTCGAACCAGTGACTAGCTGTTGCCGATGTCGCTTAACTTCGCAGATTGGACAAGTCTGCCACATACGCCTGCTCACCGTTAATGGGTTAAATGAAAATGGGTACTTTTACTCGAATGGAAGATCGGCTTCGATTATAAGACTGTCTCGAATATCGGCCTTTTATTCGAGGTACCCTGTTTTCTATTCTGCGCGAAAGTGGACGTACTCAAATACGGGAAAAGAATGAGGGAATTTACTCAATAAGGGAAAAATATGATAATTTCATGCAATAGCACTTCTTTTTTTTTGTATTTTTTACAACTTGTATTAATAATTTCTTTTTTGGTACTTTTCCGTTATACCTCGGCCACCTCCACATTTCCGTTATACCCCCACCCCCCGATTTTTTATCTATCTATCTATTATTATCTATTATTTTTTATTATCTGATTATTTGATCATTTTTTTGATCTAAAAACTGACGGAGGTATAACGGAAAAGTACCATTTTTTTTAGATGATGGGTGATGCTACAACAATGAGACCTACAACGAGGTGCCAAAAGCCAAAAGCCAACGGTGCCAAAAGCCTCCGAACATTTATGAGGAAAAGCTTGTCGATTTCATAATGTTCATTGCTCAGCAGAGAGAAATTGGAAATTATGCTCACTTGTACGCCGCAGATGAAACAACGTCGGATTTAAGAGTGGATGACATTTAATCAAGTGAGAATGAAGAATAATGTTGTTATTAGTGCTTTTTTATGTTCTTATTAATTAATTTAATTTTCATAAAAAAGACTTTTTAAACGCTGGTTACTGCCCCATACGCCTGCTCATCGTTAATGGGTTAAATAAAAGCGGGTATTTAAGACGAATAAAGGGCTTGGGCAACCAAACAACGCGGGAATGTAAGAAGCTAACTTATTATAAATATTCTTGCTTGCAACAAGAAAATAGCTCACAAAAAGTTTGGTTCTTTATTCTTTGTTGCGAAAGTTTCAAGAATACCTGCAAATTTTGAACGGTTGATTGTTGTTTTTCATCAGATCGACTCGTAAAGCTTGAAACACATCATTTCGATTCAAATACTCTTCAATCAAATCATCGACTCCACATTCATTTCCATTCAATTGATCCGATGAATCACGGAAATTCTGGAAGAAATATTTTGGATAAGCAGCTTTTCTAACCTTCACATTCTCTGGATAGACTTCATCGCCATTCACTGAGATTTTGTAGCAATCACCGTACATATTGTACTTGTCAATTCTGGAAATTTCTTTATTTTTATCACTTTTTCAAATTTACCCCAAATCGATTAGATCAGCATTCAATTTTTTTGGCCGTTTCTTGACAAGATTGCATGGGCGAATTTAAATAATCACAATCGGATGATCGACTCTGATTACAGGCTGGACATTGATCAAGAAGATGCTGATAGTCTCTGAAAATGTTGTGAAAGCGTTTGATGATTTGAAATGATGAGTTGATTTGAAAAAGTTGTGCTTTGTGTCATACTAATAGTTTGCGCCATACTAACAGTGCAAACAAAGCCTGACTACTTTTTTTGTAAACCTGCTTCTAAGTGGCTCATGTCTCCTACTAGCATCTGATCCGCTAGATTTAAAGAAGCTAGACCAGAAGCTGGGTTTGGGCTTGGGTTGTGTAGGTCAGGCTTCTGGCTCAGGTCTTAAAGCCAGCCACTGAACAACGGTCATGTCAGACAAGGTCAAAAGCCAGGAAGCTAGACCAGAAGCTGGGTTTGGGCTTGGGTTGTGTGGGTCAGGCTCCTGGTTCAGGTCTTGAAGCCAGCCACGGAACGATGGTCGTGTCAGACAAGGTCAAAAGCAAGGGTCAGGGTCAGCCAGGGTCAAGACCTGGCTTCTAACTCTGACCCTGGCTTTTGGCTTAGGCTAACCTGACCAAGCCAACCAGAAAACTTTAGGACGTGAGGACTTGAGCTCGGCTAAGGCCTGGAGTAATCTTGTGTCTAACTATTCAATAAAATGTATCCATCACTAATCTCTCAGTAGGTTTTCTAGTTGGCTTGGTCAGGTTAGTAGCCAGTAGCCAGATTTCTCTTTCTCTCAGTAGCCAGATTTCATTTCTTACCTCTTTCCCGTAAAACCCTTTGCATAAGCAAAATCGATCAAGCTGTTGAATTGGACAACCTCATTCCAAATTCCGATAAAAATCAAGCCCTGAAATTTCTTGAGTTCTATAAGTTGTCAAATTACATAAAATACTTTCAAACGAAAGTCCTCATATGAGTTTTGTTGTTGTTTGATTGAATCCAAATAGTCAAGAGCCATTAAAGAAACGATTTCCGATGAATATTCACCGGACACCAAAAATATTTCTGAAATTTGTTGAAAATCGATTTTCAAAAGACAGAAATGTATTGGGTTGTCCAGTTATGAATGCGCGTTTTTACTATTTTGTAAATTTCTCAAGATATCGAACAGATGTATATGAGTGTTATATATCATTCGAAAGCTGAAGATCTCCTCTACATTTTGGAATAAAAAAGTTTTTGAATTCATTCAACTTTTTGGGAAATTGACTGCACAAATGGAGAGGTCGTTTCCGAAAAAAAAACCGATTCCAGCTTAGCTATTCCTCAAGTTTTATGGTGTAAAATTACCGCCCAGAAAAGAAAAGAAAAGTAAAGATGCTCTGAAATTGTTATATTTTAAAAAAAGTTGTATTGATATATCTATTGGTCAAAAATCAAACGGTTAACTCAATTTGAGCGGAGCCAAAACTTGATCCAAAGGCACCCTTCCATTTTTTGGCCACCTCTTCTTCTGTGCAGTCAATTTGCCCAAAAGCTGAACAAATTCAAAAACTTTTTTATTCCAAATGTAGAGGGAGATCTTCAGCTTTCGAGTAATACTCATATAAATCTTTTTCTTGATTTCGGTATCTTGAGAAATTGACAAAATAGTAAAAAACGCACATTCATAACTGGACAACCCAATAATTTCGACAGAACTCACTTTTCTCTTTCAAATTGTAAGTTGTCAAAAAGTTTTGCAATAAGTTGAAAAGCAATTTGGATGTCTAAAAAGTGGACGTTCAGTGAGTGCTTTGAGAAAATGGGATTCAAAGCCGAATTCCGTTGTTTCACGTTCATAAAATTTAATTTATACCTCAGCATTTGTGAATGTGGTGATATTTTGAGAGAACCCGCTCCCAGTTGGCAAATCGATAAAGAGTAAATGACCGAGCTAAAAACAACGACAAATTTTCATGCCAGCACTTTGCATTTGCATTTGCGAGTGGTTAGGTATTTCAAAAAATAAAATTCTAATTGAAAAACTTATGAGTACAAGTGTTTAACGAAAAGGCATGCTATAAACTCTTTAAAAGAATGGAAATATGCAGCTACTAGCATATGATCCGCTACATTTAAAGAAGCTAGACCAGAAGCTGGGTTTGGGCTTGGGTTTGTGGGTCAGGCTCCTGGCTCAGCTCCTGGTTCCTGGCTCAGCTCCTGGCTCCTGGCTCTGAAGGTCAGGCTCCTGGCTCAGCTCCTGGCTCCTGGCTCTGAGGGGTCATGCTTCTGGCTCAGCTCCTGGCTCCTGGCTCAGCTCCTGGCTCCTGGCTCCTGAAGGTCAGGCTCCTGGCTCAGCTCCTGGCTCCTGGCTCTGAAGGTCATGCTTCTGGCTCAGCTCCTGGCTCCTGGCTCAGCTCCTGGCTCCTGGCTCTGAAGGTCAGGCTCCTGGCTCAGCTCCTGGCTCCTGGCTCCTGAAGGTCAGGCTCCTGGCTCCTGGCTCTGAAGGTCAGGCTCCTGGCTCAGCTCCTGGCTCCTGGCTCTGAAGGTCAGGCTTCTGGCTCAGGTCTTGAAGCCGAAACGATTTCCGACAATTTACGTTTCAAATCAAAATCAATTCAGCATTCAATTCAAGTCAACCAGCAAAAGCAAAAGAAAGCAAAAGAAAGCAAAAGTCAAATATGAATCTCCTCACTTTTGTCCACGAATAAACATTCTCTCAACTTCCATTTTTGCCGATTCGATATGGGCCGAATTCTTTGAAAATCGAGGCAATCGGTGAGCAACCAAGCTCTCCTTTCAAGAAAATGATCAAATTATTGTCAGCTTCTGCAGATTGTGAAGTGAAATACCTGTAAATTGATTGGAAATCTCAATCAGCTAAATGAAAGCCAACCAATAAAATAATTTCTCATCGAGATATCCGGAGTATTGCTCAAACTTTGGTGTGAATTGGAGATTTGGTAGTGATGAGATCTGGAAATTTATATGTCGTAACGGATTATGAATTTCAGCCGATTATGAATGAGTGGATCTAGGAGCGTCCAACCATCAAGTATTTGGTATCATTCAACGCAGAATCATTGATAATTATGTTAAATTTTTAAAATTAACAAGATTGGATAAAAAGAACACAAATTATGGGGCTTCAAAGTTTCCTCTTGAACAAACAGTTTTTTTGCTCTAATTTTTTTTTCTTTTTATCCAATCTTTCTAATTTAAAAAATTTGGCATAATTATTAATGATTCTGCGTTGAATGATACTAAATACTTGATGGTTGGACGCTCCTAGACCCAAATACTTGATGGTTGGACGCTCCTAGACCCACTCATTCATAATCGGCTACGGGGGTCCCGCCGATTTTGAATGAAACGCGTTGTAGCGCCGGCAATTTTTAACCTAAACTCACAAATTTGGTACCAATCGACGCAGAATTCAATTCGCTACAAGATGATATAATATTGTCCTCATACATTAAAGGGTTGCTCTACTAGAAAGATTTGCCAAAAAATTTAATTCATAATCGGCTACGACATATAAACTCAAAGATCTTTGTTGTTTATTTGCAAACCTTATCGCGTTCTTGGAGTGCGAAAATTGATCTGAAAAGGGTTGAGAAAAATAGTAAAGAAATGGATTTGGTGAGCATTTTGAGGGGAAATAGTGAATATTTGTAAATATTGATACTTCAATGCATGTGCTTGAGGAAATGAGTATTGCCACTAAATATTGAATGAGTTAAACAAAAATAAATTCTAGAAATCAATGCTAAAATGCAAGCAAGAGCTCCGGTAATCAATTGAGCAAGCAATTTTGAGAAAACTCTGAATCAGTTTAAGGAAATTCCCCATAAGAAAACCGATCAAAGCTTGGTAGATCACTGATTTCAAATGCTTTTGTTAAATTCAAATGGTTTTGTTAAATATGTTAAATAGGAACTATAAAGGAAGAATAGAGGAAATATAAAGGAACTATAGAGGAACTATAAAGGAACTATAAAGGAACTATAAAGGAACTATAGAGGAACTATAAAGGAACTATAGAGGAAATATAGAGGAACTATAGAGGAACTATAAAGGAAACCATAAAGGAACTATAAAGGAACTATAGAGGAACTATAAAGGAACTATAAAGGAAATATAGAGGAAATATAAAGGAACTATAGAGGAACTATAGAGGAACTATAGAGGAAATATCAAGGAACTACTAAAGGAACTATAAAGGAACTATAGAGGAAATATAAAGGAACTATAGAGGAACTATAAGGAACGATAAAGCGAACTATAAGCCAAATTTAAAGTGAGAAGCAAAATTTAAAGTGGAAAAAGCCAAATTTAAAGCCGTTTTGCGGATAAAATTCAATCAATCACCAAGAAAAATGCGTAGATTCCATCTCAAAGTGAGATCACTTGAAAATCTCTGATAACTCAAATGATTTTTCATCGTTTTTGCTTCTTTTTGTCGAGCAAAGAGCGAATTTTCATTTCTCTCTTCCTTTCCGAAAAGCAAACAATTGCCAAAGGTGCGTGAAGTAAATTCTTTGTGTCAATTCTTTGAAGGGAATTGTTTGTTGAGCTTATGAAATTTTTACCAATGATTCAGTTTTGACTCCGGAGAATGATTTTCGAGTTCACATAACCAAGCGTGTTTTATTTTTGTGATTTTTCCATGAGGATACTTTCAAAGAGAAATGTTTACCCATGTGCATCATGTACAGCGTTTGAAAGCGGAACAGATTAGACTTATCTTTATCAGTCACGGTTTCGAATCAAATTCAATTCAGCATTCCACAGTAATTCAAGTTAACCAGCAAAAGTTCAAATACCGAATCTCCATGGCAGACACTCTTTAGACGGTCAGAAGTCACTGAATTTGAAATGTTACGAAAGATTTGAGTACTGTGTTGATTTTTGAAGGAAATAACTACTTTGAGGAGGTCATAGATTTCTCCTAAGAATAATATTATTTAACTTTTTGCTTGGTTTTAGCAGGAACCACTCCCGCCCAGCTTGCCCTTAGTTTTGCCAAAATCTGAGAGAACTCGTACAACTATTAGCTCTTTTTGACCTCATTAGTAGGCTTTTCCATGAATTGAATTCACAATGTGACGCTTAGCTCGAGATGTAAGCTGAGGTTTGGGCCTAGTCTTCTTTTTAGGAGCGGTCACGTTCTTGTTCTTTAAATAACGTCGAATGCAATTGTGATTGCGGCCCAAAAGCTTTGTGATTTCTTGAATAACCTTCTTGTCGATCTTGTAGGCATCGATCTGTCCCTTCTCGTAATCGGAAAGCACTTCCCAACGTCCCATTTCCTAAAATGACAACAAATGATTACAAAAAATAAAATAAAAATTTAAGAAAAGCAAAAAAATGAATAGTATCAGGTTGGCAAGTTATTAGGTGTGTGAAAAAGTAATCCACGTTTTTAACGTTTAAATATAAAAGACCATAAGTTTCGTTAAAATAATTTTTATTCAACGAAGTAATCACCATTCGAAAGAACAACCTTTTGCCAACGTTCTACAAGTAAAGGCATTCCACGATAATAAAAATCTTGGTCCGTAGAGGCGAAGAAAAGATCAACCTCGGCTTTGACATCTTCTTCGGAATTGAACCGTTTATTGGCCAGAGACAGAGGCAGTTAGATAGCCAAAAAGTTAGACAGAGACAAAAATAAATAATAATCAGATGGAGAAAGGTCTGGACTATAAGGTGGATGTGGTAAAACCTCCCATCCAACACTCTGGACTTTTTGTCGAGTCTGTAAAGAGACATGTGGTCGCGCGTTATCATGGAGCAACAGGACACCTTTCCTATTTACCAATGATGCGCGTCTCTCAGTGAGCTTTTGTTAAACTGCATCAATCTCGGCACAATAGACATTCGAATTAATCGTTTGGCCACGTGGTAAATAGTCTATGTGCATAATACCACGTGCAGTCCACCAAACTGTCATTAAAATTTTTTAGGATGGAGGCTTTTTTGGGGCATTGTCCCAGCAGGTTTACCACGTTCCACCCACTGTCCAGACCTTCTAGAATTATCGTAATCAACCCATTTTTCATCACACGTAACAACTCGATCAATAAAATTCGATCAATGGCTCAAGTTGATGTTTACTAATCAAAGAATTGGCGATTGTAAGGCGCATTGTTTTGTTTTCTTCGCTCAATTCATGCGGTATCCATTTGTCCAACTTTTTGATAAAATTCATGGCATTCAAGCGTTTCCTTACGGTTGACCCATCACAATTTAATGTAAGGCCTATTTCTGAAGAGGTTGAACGAGGGTTTTCAAGAAGACAGCGTCTTATTTGGTCATCAGATAAAAATAAAAAACGTGGATTACTTTTTCACACACCTAACACAATTTGTTTCTAAAATGAGAAAATTTTAGCCATTGGTGTTTGCGTTTGATGAAGAACTCTCGCCACCAACACCGAAACGAGTAAGTCTGCCCGACAAAGCACTTGCTAGTAGACTTGACTATCGAGATCTCGATACTTGACTTCGATACGATATCGAAGGCTTAACGCGTCACGTGGTTTCCGGCCCCTTTAGAAAAACGCGGTAGAAAAACCTTTAGAAAAGTAAAGCCAAGCCATCTAAAACAATTTTTCGTTGAAAGTAGGAGAAAGAGGGCGAGGAGCAAATTCAGGGCAATTCTCAAATATGAAAACAGCGACCGAGTTCAACTGAAGTCGTTCCTCGCCCTCTTTCCCCCTAGCTTTGAAAAACAAATGTTCAATGTAGCTTTACTTTAAGAAACTACATCAAATTGGCTACAAAATGAGCTATTAGGCAAGTTTTTTGGCTGAGTAGAAAATTTTTTATTGCCATTTTAAGGCATTTTGAACCTAAACTTTGGGGGCTCAAAAAAAATTTTCTACTGAACCAAATGAGCTAATTTCCAAAATTTATTATAAAATATATGTATTATGAACATTTTTTATGTGGGTGACTTTTTGATTGGATGCCCGGAAATACCATCATTCGTTAGCGGCTGAATTTTGTAAACGGCTACGACACATCAATAGTTTTTTAAAAAATGGGCTTTTTCAAAAAACGCAAAAAAAGCCAAAACTTAAGTTCGTAAAACGGTCATAAAATTTTTCACCTTTGACCAATTTGTTTACTTTTTAAATATTCTAAAATAGACACTTCCAGCTTTTTTTTTATTATTGTAAGCTATAAGCAATTTGTTACAATTACTCAAATTTTAGAAAAGGAAAAGTATGAAAATCTCAAAATCAAGACCAAGGTTTGAAGGCTTCGACTTTGAAAAAAGTTCATAATAGAAAAAATTCTGTCTAATAATTTCTATTTCACGATCCTTTCTAAGCATTTTAGTTCAAAAAATAATTAAAAATAACCATTCTGCGCAAAGTTATAGCTTTTTTTCGGGGGGTAGTCAAAAACAGCACCATAATAGAAAACGTTCAAAACAGCGCCGTCAAATTTCTCAAAATCCAAAAAACCAAGCCGCTTCAAGTTTTATATCAAAAAATTCCTTGCCTTCTTGGCTACATGATGGGTGAAACAGTTTTTAAAAAAAGTCAATATTTCATAGATAAAAAGAGCACTCATAATGGGTCTCTAAAGATATTCAGTTGACCAACTGAGAATCACTCGACACACAACGGATTTCAAAATCGTTATCATTTTTGGAATTAGCACAAAATTCTGCGTCGAATGGCAGATATTAGAAGAATCTTATCCAGCAAATTTCATCAGAAAACGCATTTTAACATTGTTTCGCGCGGATGTGC